TGCCATTTTTAGTTTCAAAATGTTGCAATATTGTGAATTCTCTGAAAGCTAGACACTGGCATGTTCATTGATGAACCTCAACTCAAAGTCAAATTAAGTAAACTGTTCTGGATTGGGCACAACTCTGATTTCTCTGTGAATGGATAATTGAGAACAGACTGGATAAATAAGAGAGGAAGCACAAAAGCTAATTTCATTCTTGGAACATACACTACAATAATAGGCTATGATAATAGGATACTATAAAACAATTACCAAACACACACATTTGAAACTAATCTGAGCTGAAATACATATGGTGGTCCATCTAATAATAAGGTGGAAGGAGGGGGGAATATAAATTGTTATTGAAACAGAAACTAGCCAGATGAAATTATTAATAACTCCATATATATGATAGTATTTTGTACACTATAGAGATACTTGCAATAAATGTAGAATCTAACCTTGTCAAATAGCCTGTATCTTTTTGTTAAACATAGAAGATATATTTTAGTCCTGACTTTGCTCTGCAAAAAGAAGGGAAAATCCTGCCCTAATAAAAAAAGTAATGAGAAATATAAATGGACATTTTTCTGGTCTTTTTCATTTCTGATTGAAAATGAAAAAGTTGATATCTCAAAGTAATAATAAAATAAACACTAATTTATAACCCATCACTCCCAAGAAAACTTTCTTAAGTATTCCAGTAAGTTGGTTCATTTCTTTATACACCACATGTAAGAAATGGCATGGGTCTTCCTGAAAACTTAACAATGAAGAATAGAATTAATACTTTGAGGGGAGTTAAATTTAAGTTTCTACATATACACAGAGGTACAGAAATACTCTTTTGTCATAGCTACACCTATGTTGTTCTCCAACATATCTGAGATACATGCTGCATATGTCTACTTGAATTAATAGCTTCTGAGAGCTAGAACTCTTTGATGATGTTTTATGCTTAAATAAATGGCCAGAACAGAAAGAGGTGTGTTTGGGAATAAAAGACAAGGCAATCATAAAGCATTTAAACTACTATATGACACAATGCTGCCATCTGACACTGACTAATGCTGACAATTTCAACAGTGCTCAATTTTACAAACATCTATGTTTACTTGCATGAATCTTGAGGGAGAAATTTAAAAAATGAGAAGAAAAGAAACACGTTTGCCTGCTTTTAATAAAATGGTCCAAGTGATAATTAAGTGGCTTAAATTAAAGAGTGTTAGTCTATTAACAATATAATAAAAGTCTTAATTATATAGCATGTTTTACTTGAAAAATTAAAAATGCTGAGCAATCTAATTAGATTTCAATACTAATCTCACCCAAATCAGAACCATGCATTCATTACACATTACATAGGGAGAAAAGTTTACAGCTGGGAAATAAAAAGGAGCAGAAAAATAACTTTCTTAAGGTCACATGGGATATTTATACGGCATAGCTAAAAACTGAACACAGTACTGACTCCAATATAAAGATTTTTTTGTAACATTTAAGACTATTAAAGTGGTTTGTACTAAATTTTTTAATAAGTCAACAGTAGACAAGCATTCTTTTCCAAATTTCTATTTTAAAAGATAATCTAGTTGGAATTTTCTAAAAAGTCAGGAAAGTTTGGAATCTGAACATGAAAATATTTTTTGTATCTATAGATTTTAAAACCATAGGAAAGCATTAGTAATGTCTATTTCCTTCTGCATTGTACTTACAACCATGGTGCAAATCAACTTCTTTGTTTAGGAACATCTTTAGGGTGTACATAAGGCTCTGTCACATGAACCATCAGCCATAGCATCAACCATCACATTTCATTCTAAGAACTATAAATGCAGTTTAAATAGAGGCAGGCTTCCAGGAGGGATGGGTTACATTAGTGGGGTGTTTTGAGACCTAAAAACCTTTCCCACTGTTGATGTGTCTTTTCCCAGGAGAATGAGGGACTAATTCTCCATCGCACATTTTTTTTAACCCTCCTGCTCAGCCTGGAGAAATAATCACAAGATCTTATAATGTGTTTATGAAGTAGGAAAAAAGATGGAAATTTCACAATTGGGATCCACTGACATTTTTCTAGTAATACAATTGATATGAACTGTGTCTGTCCAGGCTGCGCAGACTGAAAGCATTAGAAAAACACAATTGGATAATGACCCTGCTTTGACCAAATCAGCTTTTACCTTAAGTCATGAGAGTTTTGAGCTGAAGAGATCTCAGAGAGTAGATGGATCCTTAGTACACCATTTACTTAACACCTGAGAAAGCTGAAGCCCAAAAATGTGAAATGACTTGTTCAAATGCCTAAAGGTGAATATGGTTTTGAACCAAGCCTAGAAAAATGGTATACTAAAAATAGTATTTCATTAAATTGTAAATTGTTATTGGATTAAATAAATCATCAAGGAAAAAGCAATATTTACTGCTTACTAAGCAGTCTGCTGTTTTGAAGCTAACACTGAGGTAGTTTGAAAGGACATTATTATTGGGGTTGATGCTTTTCCCAAGGCCTACTGAGATAAACTGACACACTGCCAACATAATATCCCTCTGAAAAGCTTTACCTGTGTTCATGTCTTGGAATAAACCTTATATCAATCAGAAAGCAATTAAGAAAAATTCTAGAGAGGGGTACACACAGAGTGAAGAAGGAGTTCATTGCAGGGCTCCACCTCCTTGTAAATAACCAAGTCAAGACTTTTTAAAAGCAATACAAAATATCACCACAGGCTGACGCTCTTTCTACAAGAATAATGGGATTCTTGCTCTCTCGGATGCTGAGAACTTTTACTTTATCTCCGAATTCAGTTTTCGTGATTTATACATATACTCATCCTCCCTTCCAAACAGGCAGCCTTGCCGTGCCTAAAATGTATCGCGGACTACGTAGCGACTGCAGATCAAAAGACCTCAGGGGCAGTTTCACAAACTCGATCATCAGCCTCCAGGTCTCCGGAAATGAAGGGAGGGTGAGTCACTTAGCCCGGGGACAAAGCCAGCCTTAGGCTCAGCCAGGAGGAGGGCTCCGAGGGAGGCGCACTCGCTGTCCAGGACTCGCGTCCCGAGTCAACATGGCGCTTTTAGTGCCATAATCCATTCTTTTAAAACACGCTGACAGCGCACCGAGAATTTTGCGCTTAAGGCAGCCCGGAAAATTCAAGGAAACCACTCATCTGAGGATCGCAGGCTTCTGACACCCCCCGATCAGCGTGGCTGGAGGGGCCGAAAGCGCGCGGCTGGGTATGGGCTGGAAACGCCAGCTTGAGGCGCCAAAGGAACCTCCGCGGAGGTGAAAGCGGAACCTCTCCCTTTTGAGCAATTACATTTTCGGAAAAACCTGTCCTCCGAGGTGACCAACTGAAATTTCAGCGCGACTGCAAGTAAAAGGAAACAGGGCGTGTGCGTGTGGTCCTGGGTTTGACGTGTAGGTGAGAGGGTTAAACTGAAAACCAATTGTGGGCATGTGAATCTTGGCGTCTCACAAACGACATCACCTTGGTCCTCCCACCTCTGCTGCGGGCTCGAGAGCGAGCGCCCTTCCTTCCCACATCGGACACTGGGATCGGGAAAAAGTGCAACCCACAGTGTCCAATCCAAGGGGGTCTCCCCTGCCCACCTCCCAGGTGTTCTCACCCCGCCCCACCTGCTTTAAAACGGTTCAGCTCTTCGTTTCACACCCCGCCCAGAGCCGGAGATTTGTCATAGCTGCCTTTCTCTGGCCTCAGAACAGCAGGTTAGCTCATTACCTCACCCAAAACGTAACGTTTGTAGAGAAGAGGCACCCCCTCCCTCTACACCCCGCTGCCTTCGCCCAGCAGCAGTTCACGAAGACTTGTGGTCTTCAGGTCGAGCCCCCAGCCGCACCTTTCCCCCTTTTCCTGGGAGACAGCCAGAGGCTCAACCCTCTTCTCTGGCCTCAGTTTGCCAACAACTGAAGGGATGTGCAAAAATTAGAGGCACGAAAAGGAAGTGAGTTTTCCTGTAAAAATAAAACTAAAGAAAAGAACAAGAAAACAAACAGAAGCCCAAATAACAGGAAGTAAGAGTTCTACTTGCAACTGTCTACGAAGGGCTAGAGAGCAAAACTTTCAAGGGAGAAAAAAATTCCAAAAAATCCTGAAGTCTAGCGAGAAGATGAACCAGCTGCTGTGCCCACGGACAGCAAACACAGCGCGCTGTTAGGACCAACTCGGGTGAGCTGCCCGGCGTGTCTCAGGCCGACAGCGCCTGGGGCCGTCCCTAGGGTGCAGCCTGGGATTCCCGGAGAGGTATTTTAGTTGTTGGGGCTTTTGTCTTTTTTCTTCTGTGGCTCAGTGGAGAACTGAGTAGAGAACTCAGTGGAATCACAGGTCCTGAAAATCCACGACGCCCGGACGAAGGTCCCCCAAAGCGGGCCGCGTACCCCAGGGCAGGCGGCGCCCTCCGCCGGCCCGCACCCACGCCCGCACGCCCCCCGCCCCCAGTGGCGGGGGAAGGGCGTTCAGCCCGCGACTGCCGCGGCGGGAGATTTGTGGAGCTGTGATTCAAGTCCTGCTTCTCTCGTACCCCCACCATCCCTTTTTCACTTCCTACCGGGGGAAGGTACCAGGAAATTTATCTCGAAAAGGTGCGGACAGTTACCGCCTTCGGAAAAAGCCAAGCGAAAGAAAAACTGCCCGGAGCGCAATGACGTGGACTCTGATACCCAGAGACCGGAGAGCCTGTCAGAGGGCGAGAGCTCCCCGCCCCGGCGGCGGCCGCAGGGGGAAGGGGAGAGCACCAGAATCCTGCCCGGGCCCCTGGAGGCCCGGGCCCCCGGCCGCACCCAAAGTTCCTGGAGGTTTACCCAACGCCCCCAGGCGCTGCCCAAACTTGAGCCAACCGGCCGATCCCAGTGAGGCACAGGTGACTGAAGCAGGGCCAGCTCGGTGCCTCCACCGCCGTCCCCCCACCCCCAGCCCCACGCGCCGAGCCGCGAACCTGCGGAAGTGCCCCGGCCCAGGGCGGCCTGGGGCTGCTCCGAGGCCCTTGCTCACCTGGCCTGAGGGCAGCGGCAGATATCAAGAGGCAGAACACCAAGCGACAGGAGGGGGCCGCCCTCGGTGCCATATTCCTCCTCCTCCTCGGGGACCACCGACAGAGTCCGCGCCGCAGGAGGGGGCGTCGTCCCGGGCGCCGCGCAGCCCGCGCGCCCAAGGGTCGGGACTCAGGGGGCAGCGGCTTCCCCCAGACACACTGCCCCCCGGGGCTGTGGCGCTGCACCTTCGGGTCTGTGCCGCACGCAACTTTACACAACGCAGTGCCCCAACTCTTCCTCCTTCCCCTTCAACGCCGGCTTTTGATCGTTTTGGCTGCTCCTCCGGGACTGGCGACCCTCTCTTCCCGGGAGACACTTAAGTAAGTCGGAAAGGTGTACGTGGTTCTTTTTGCTGGCCTGTTATTTTCCTTCTTTTGGAACAGTAATGATAATGGTAGTGGCAGTGTGCACCAAAAGCCCTGTGCTAGGAAGGAACCGCCGGGGGCGGCCACAGGGGGCGGCGGGTCCAGGCGGTCTCCTCAGGTGGCAGCGGCGCTGTGGCAGGGAGAACAGCGGAGCGGTAACAGAGGCACAGTGGCAGCGGTCCGCGGGCTGCTCTGAGTGGAGGGACTGGAAGGCGTGTGTAAGCCGTCTCTCTCCTCCTCCCCCCGCCTCCTCCCTCCTTCCTCTCCTCCCAGCTTCCCAGGACGCGGCGCGGAGCAGGTGGTTGGAGCGCCGACCTGCAGCCTAGAGGCGCTGCAGGACCGAGTCGGAGACTGAGCCCGGCTCTAGAACGGTGCGCAGGAGGCGCGCGCGGGGGCCGGCCGGCCCGGGGCGGGGCTTCCTCGTGGCTCCGCCGGGCCACGCCCGCCAGTGGGGAGCTGACCCCGCAGCCGCGCGCGTCCGGGTGGGCCCCCGGGACTGCCCCTTCCCGGTGTCTTGACCGTCGTCCCTGTGATTCTGCGTCTCACTTCATACCGCCCACCCTGCCTCGCCACGGTTCAAAAAGCCAAACTGCCTTTTTCTTGCTCCCAGACGCCTGTCCCCGTGGCTCTCCTCGGATCTTCCAGCGGCGATGCTGCATCTCCTTCTCCTATAAAGACAGTAGGAGACGGAGTGGGGGAGGGGAGCTCACGGCGGGGTGCAGGGGTGCGCGTGGTGGGGGTCACTGTGGGTCCTAGGGCGGGAGCGCAGGAGAAGGAAGCGGCTGCGGGAGGCGGCAAAGGTGGAAACTAGCCTGCTGGTAGTGAACAGCAACAGCCACCGGTTGGCCGGTGGCAGCCTACGCACTGAACTGATTCCTCCCAATTCCGCCCACCAAACCCGCCTCCTGCACACACATTCTTTGGAACACCGATCTCTTGAGTCGACTGCCCAGTACCAAATATAAAATATTTACTCTTTCCCAGGGGAAATTAGATCAGTAATTTCTAGAGCATACTTCCTCACCCGGATTTTTCCAGTGTCTACAAAAGCCAGAACGTGTCTTTTATTTTGAATTAAGAGGCAATTTTAAGTTACAAAATCCACAGATTACACAGATTAAAAGCCAAGCTGCTTCTTGTCCATTCCTGAAAGCTAGGCTTCCCAGCAGATGGACAGGCTTCTCAGGCAGTTTGTAAAGATTGAACCACCTCCCAAGCAGACATGGGGAAGCTCCGTCGCTTTCAGATCAGGCAAGGAACATGAAGGAATATTTTCTTCTAGAACACCATGGTGGAGCTGTCGGGGCTCTAAGTGGCTCTAAATCAGAGACACGGGATCACAAGGTTCATCCCCGAAGCGTAATAAAATCTTGGTCCCCGAGCCATTTCGCTGGGGCATTAAATAGCATTTCGTACATCATAGGGTCACTCCTGTATGAAGCTAGTCTCCAGCAGAGAATGCCAGCTAGTAATCATCACGTACTGCGATTTCATCAGAAGGCTCGGAGTCACCGGCAGGAGAAGCTTAATAAAACAAGCACACACACGCATCTACGTACACAATGTCTTTGAACTAGTTACTTTTCATCCTCGAAACTATTAAGCTCTATCTTCAGCTGTGATTTTTGTTAAAAGCTCCTAATCTTGTCCTTCATGTTCTCTATACATTAACAGTATTCTAGAATAGGGCTCTTATATTTTTCCTCTCAAAATGAGAAGTTTCTCCCGCTTGGTTTTAATATTAACATTTTATTTGCATCTTATTAACCAACAGGAAGGATAATGCTAGGAGACAAATGCCTTTTAATTCCGTTTTCTATGAGCTAAATTTGGCTGAATTGCTAGCATTCCTGTGGGATCCTGTAGAATTCCTTTAGGGAATTGTTTTTCTTTTAACAGAAGCTTTAAGTGGCTTGCATTTGAAGAAATCATCTATATTTAACCTGGATCCCCCCTTTTCTATCTGATCCCCTTTATTTTGGGATGGGATTTACAGCATAATTGTTTAAAAAAAGTTGATCTGGAAAAGGCAAGTTGTCTGGTTTGGGCTGTGACATTTGCTAGCTGTATGATCTTGGTCAACTCTCTTCATCCCTCTAAGCTTCAGTTTCCTTACTTGTAAAAAGTGATAACAACCCAGCCTCTTGAGGTTGCTGTGAGGATTAAGTGAGATCACATGAATAACAGGCTAGGTAGAGTAGTAGGAGCTTGGGCTTTGGGGAGAAGTCAGTCTAGTTGAAATCCCTGTTCTTCACTTGAATGACCTTGAGCAAAAGTCAGTCTCACAGAGTATGATGACACATTAGATTACCACCTTCAATGTCATGCAGCTAAATTGAATCAAAATACATTCTATTAATTAAGGATATTATCCACACACATACATACATATGTATGGAACTCTGGAAGCAATACATACACACACATATGTGTATGTATGATACATACTTCTTTGTACAATAAGTTGCTTCCAGAATTGCTTTTAGGGAGGAATGTGTCCTAGTTTAGGAAACTGCCTTGGTAAGCCATTTGGAGCAGTAACTCCAAAGGCTATCAGTCATATGTAACTAAGGCCAGAAAACTGATGGTCATACTACTATATATTAACATCATAAAAATAAAAATAGAGATTACAAAATATTTTAAAAAATAAGAATTGGGCAGAAGAGTGAAAAGGGGAGTGATGCTGAGAAATGGAAGGGACAAGGGTCAAGCCATACCACTATGAGTTTGGAAATGGTTAACAGCCTTTAAGTATATCTTAATTAATCAGTAACAATTATTTAACAATTATTATCTGTTACATTATTTTAAGCTATTTATATGAATTAATAAAATACTTCCCCCTCAAAAAAATCCTATGAAGTAGGTGCTGTTTTCACCTTCATTTTGCTCATGAATAAACTAAAGCCCAGGCACACGAAGTAACTTGTCCCAATGTCACACAATAGTTCATAGTAATGGTAAAGGCATGACTCTATCCCAGGCATTTTGATTCTAGATGATTCTAATAGTATATACTGTAGTGTAATCACACTCCAGAGCATAATAATGGGTACTTCTTACTGCAAGAGGTAAAATGAGTAATGTTCACCCAGAGGAAAACATATTTGATCCTAGAGCTTCATTCCTATCTACTTTCCTTATCACTATCCACTTTGCTTATCAGAGATATCTAATAATAAATTTATGCTTTTCTTTTCGGTTGTTGTTGTAGGGGTAGGGGGTGATTTAGACATAATTTCCTTCATCTTCTCAAAACTTTAATAAAGTTTCCTACCCTCCAACACATTTTCCTTGTAGAAATTAATAAGGCAGTGCATCCTATCTTCATGAGCCTGGTGCAGGGCATATGAGATGTCAAGACCATTTCTAGACTGGAGTAATTTAGCTAAGCAAGAGCTCAGAATCAGAAATAAACTTTAGAATGTAAGCACCAGAAAATAATGTAGTGGAGAGAGTATTTGTCCTTCAAAATCTAGGGAATGAGGGGTTGGGTTCACCTTACCTGGTTCTTAAGAGAAAGTATTTTCCAGCTGCATCTGGATCACAGTTGCTTTTCTTACAACTGAGAATACATAATATTCCAATGATATTTACCAGATAGGTTAGTCATGCATCAGAGTATAATAACGAGTGCTTCTGATTAATGTAAACAATTTCCCAATGGAGATGAAATTTCACCGAAGATGTTTTTGGAGGCTGGTGACATTTGTTCTTTACCACCTTATAGCGTTCTGTGTGCCTTCCGAGTTTTTGAACACACTTGTATGCAATTCGAGAGCATGCAACAATTCTAATTCACTTTCTCTTTCCCACTGGTGATTACACATTTCTACCCAATACTTTTCAATACATTGGGCACTCTAAGTTTATGTATGAATAACAAATGATGAGAAAGAGTTCTTCATTATAGAACATTAATCTTGAGTCCAACTTACAAGGGAGAGTGAGTGATATAAGGAAATAAAAGGGTTTTCCACTGGGTCTTCACTACTTGGACTAGTATGATTACATTGCCAAAGTGTGGGCTTTTTCCCCACACCACCAAGCAGTTCTCAGCTGGGTGACCTATTCTGACATTGTCTACCTGAAGATAGCTTAGCCAGATGGGAGAGATGCACAGTGCAAGGTATGGAGAAAGGGCAGAAGAGTTCCCATGCTCTGTGAACATGCCACGCACCCAGAATATCCACATGTTCCCTGCGTGGAAACCTCTCTGCACCCTGTCTTTGGGTGTCTGTGGAGGCTCCATTACGTAGGCATGATTGATGAAATCATTGGCCACTGGTGATTGAACTCAGTGGTGATAGCCCTCCTTTGATGGCTGAGACTAAAAGTTCCAGCCCTCTATCCATGTGTTACCTAGAGATTTTCCAGAAGTTGCTTCATGAGCATAACGAAAGACACCTTTATGACTCTTATCACCCAGGAAATCTCAAGCATTTTAGGGGAACTGTGCCAGGGATCTGGTAGAAAACCAAATATATATATTTCTTGTAATAAATCACAATATCACAGCTAGGGCAGACTAAAGTTTAGGAAAGGCTGAAAATAGAAACCTGATTAGTAAAGGTTTTAAGGGACCAACTGGGCTGGAGATGGGCAAGGGCCTGGGCTGATACATTGATGACAAAGTTTGAAATGGAGCACTAAGTGGGTTTTTGTTAAGTCTAGGGAGATATAACTATTTTAGAGAGATATAGAGATTATGTAGGCTTAAGATAAATCTTTATTTCATTTCTGTACCCCAAGGTTTTTAAAGTTAAAAAATCCTAAAAATCGCTCTACATATGGACTGAAGGTGAAGATGACCATCTGTCCTCCTCAGAAATAATCTCTTGAATTTTATTGTTTAATTTCAATTGTTAATAGTAACATCAGTCATTGTATTAATATAAGTTTGCAACTCATATCCTCAATAGTACTAACAAAGATGTATCACTGAAGCTCAGGAAACCAAAAACTTTCAAAGCCTATGCAAACATTATGTTCTTATTTCAGACTGTAGATTGCTCAGTGTGTGGGTACAGAAAGAAATGTATGACTATTTCAGTTGGAGTAGAAATCCGCTTAGTCATTTTCCTTCCTGTCTTAGACATGAGCAGTGGAGAGTTTAGCTAAGCTGTATGACTATGAAGCATATGCTGTAACTATAAAATGGATGTCAGAAACCTTAGTGTATTAAACAAAATTCACTAGTGATTTCAGTAGGTGCATGAAATTTAGTCAAGAACTGTAATGGGCTAGGTTCTCTTGTAAGTGTCCCTTCAGAGTCCACTGTATGTTCTTAACTTTCAACTGAAATAAACAACTCTTCTAGTTTTGAGTAAGCAGAAAGTTACTCAGAATGTTATTCAAATATTTGATACCTTGAAAGAATTTCAACTTGACTGATTCTCAAGAAGTTCTCCAGAGTTGTCTCTACTTACTTTGTCATATACCTACTAGCCATTATAATGTATGATAATTTCATTAAGGAATTTAAGGTAGATATGTAATGACTGTAGAAATAGGAAAATGATGTGTGTTTGATTTTAAAAAACAAATTACCATGGACTTAATGGACTTCTGGAAAGCCAAATTAATTAAATACTAGGCCTAGATCATCCATATTATTTCACTTTAAAATGAGTAATATAGTAGACTTTAAAGGAAAGTTTTAAGCAGCAATTCTTGGATAAATGTATAATCTGAGTAATATTAATTA